ACCAAGTTGGGCCTAACAGATTGATATAGCATAGTTCTGATATGAGCCAAACAATTTCTCAAACAGCAGAGGCCAGTCTTAAGATTTTTCACCTGAAATAAACATTTGGATTGAAACCATTGAAGTATAAGCTCTTTTCCTTAGAACAGAATGCCATATGAAATATGAACGAATCAGAGTAAACACGCCGTCATATCGAAGAGAATAATTGCATCTGATCATTATTATCTGGCTTAACTCTTTACAGGTCGGGTGTTCCTAAATTTTGTACCAGATGCTTGGCATTCAGAAACAGAATACTGGAAAAAGGGAGCACCATTATATTAGAGTGAATGTACAAATGGTTCTAATGAAATTGGTAGGGATGTCTTGAAGAGATCACAAGTAAGCACAGGATCTCTAGTCACTCAACTTGCTGGATAAGAATCGAAGTCCACAAACTATTATACTTAGGTTTCACACAGTCATCTTCCTTATCCTATGTTATACACATGTCACATCAAACAATACAGCCCACCCTTTCAATCATAGTCAAAAGGATATATCCTTCAAATAATTTATCATTGCTTCACCCTACATAACTTGCATTATGTACCAAAGACTACATAAGCTGCTTTACAAAAGAAGGAAGCAATACATGTCCTATAACAATTTGACTAGCAACCTAAATAATGTTGGATGTGATATGGTGCAAGCTGCGTACGATGACAGAAGGATTGTTCAATATAATAGAATAATAATCCACTCACATCAATGTCGTTAATCAGCATCTCAGAAAGAGTTCTAAATATTAGGATTACTCAGCAGCATTCTTAATTATATTACCACTGATTTGCAGTTCTACCTAAAGCATTGAAAACAATGATATATCCACGGGCGGACCCAGGGCCCGGCGACCCTGGGCCTCCGCCCGTCGCTGTTGGACACAATAAATTTAATTAATGTGCAGCCCATATACAAAGGGGATTAGACCTACTCAGCTGCATAGCCCACTAAACTGCTCGGGCTCCTAAATAGCTCTGGGTCCGCTACAGGATATATATCTACGTAAACTCTATAGAACTCGCACCCCTTTCTGGATATTACTTCAGATAAGCTAGTGGCATATTTTCCTTGTTCTTTTCTTTTATTAAAAAATACTAATTTAAGCACAAACCTTTTTTCTGATAATTATATCGTTTATTGAGATGTACTGAGTGAAAGCTGAAAAACATCAAAACAAGACATGAACTCAAGTGTCAGAAAACAAAACCATGGAATGGATAAATCATTTACTCAAACTCATACGCTTGTTAGACTATGGAGAAACAGCATTCCAACACTAGGTATACTTGAGTACTTCACCACCCATCTAAAGGAGCGAAATAAAACTTAGATGGCCAATTGGGTCCGCATGACAAAATCGATTTTAGTATTAACTTGGTTTAGTTAGTTTTCCACAATCCTTTTCTGAAGATCCGAGAACCCTTCCAGATAACCAGCATATATTGGGTGGCATATGCTTGCCCCAGCAGTAAACATGCATGGAGCATAGAAAGAGCTTACATAGCTACTGCAGAGAGCATCAATACCATGATATTTGGGTCAAATGTTGCTGTATGTTACTTGGACGGTGAGGAAGCACCGTAACTGCTGCATCTTTGACAGAGAAAGATTAGAGGGCTAGATGGTATTGAGAGAAGTGACCAAGCAAGATCAGCCTTGGCCTTTGGGTGCTGGATAGAGCACACGAGTTGGGGGCTTTACGACAGTAGTACTAGGCCTAGGCAGCTGTGATTTGTAACAGGCGCACACGGACCATTTCTACCTTCAATATAATGGCGTGTAGCTCTCATGTGTGTTTGAGAAAAACAAAACAAAACTATGAAATCCATCATATTTATCTTTTTATTAACGCAACGGCAGGCTTTCAATTAAGAAGAAAAGAGTTTCTAAGAAATCCATCATCTCTATCAAAACTCATCAAAGCCCACTTTGTCAATAACAAAACAATTTTCATTACAACAGTAAAAGAAACAAATAAAAAGAGGCAGAACTTTCACAATGGCAAGGTATTATGAAATTAACACCACCGAAACAAAAATTACAACCTTTATGAATAGTAGTATAATTTGAGTTATTTGTGATCGATAATTCGATATTATACATTTCTATGAATTATCAAGTGTAGCTGTACACAATAAAATGTTCAGCGAATCATTGGCAAAGTGACAGAAAAGAAACGATTAGCTAGTGATTAGCCCTACACCTGATCAAATGTCAGAACGGGTCGGTTTCGGGTTGTGACGAGAAAAAATGTTGGGTCAAAATCTTTGGACCAAGCTAGACCCAACGCACTGGCAGGTCGCGTCATGGGTTGTGAGAAGTGACCAAGCTAGACCCAACGCACTGGCAGGTCGCGTCAAAATGTTGAGAGAAGTGACCAGCTATTTCTCGGGGGTTTTTTTTTGGATTTTCCGACTTTGGGTCAGGTCATGGGTTGAAAACCATGACCCAAACCTGACCCAACACACTGGCAGGTTAAGTCGGGGTGGCCAGGCCCCTACTCCATATGACTAGCAGTAGGAGATAAACATTGCACCAAATATGATAAATTTGCTCACAATACGGTTAGCAGGCGAACTAAAATAACGAGCTAACCAAGCAGAAATATTGCATGGAAAAGCATGTTTCCACACGAACTATGTTTGAACAAATCGTTTAGCTATTATTTTCCTACAAAGGCCCAATGTAGAAACAAAATGTGCTTCACCTTGGCACACTCCAGTAGTCCCGTTGTACATAACCTGCAAGTTCCCATAGAAATACACCTTGAACGAATCCGATAGCCTTCTGCCCCTGTATGGTGAGCAAACCAACAATGGAGGTGATGTTTCATCTTGACTTGGCACAGGAGGTGAGAAATCTCTCAGATGATGAGCAAGTGCTTTATGATGATCTTATGTCGTTGTTGCCCAGCTTTGAGGTGGCGACCGAGGCGCTTTTGGTCGTTGCTCCATGCCTTGCCTCTAAAGGCACATCTGATTGCCTATTTCGTGCCCCTCCCTCAATTGTTGTTCGTGGTGTCGTTGATGAGATGCTCTCAGCCCTCGCCAATGTTGTCCATCTTCCTGCTGTTACCGGCTGCCATGGACAGAGCCTCTCTTGTGGTTGATGGATCCAATAGTGTGGATAAGAAAATGCCTCCCGGATTCTTAGTGGTTGATGGTTCAGCTGCTGCACTTTTTCCCTCACCTCCACCACCGCCACCACCTCTTGGTCTTGGACCTCTAATGGAAAAGAGGGAGATGTGTTTTCTTCAAATGGTCATATTGCTACATGATCGTGAGGAGAAGACTGCTGCGGTCCTTATGCTCGCTTCCGCTGTGGAGCTACATGGAGGTTTTGGTTGCTTAGAGGTGTCCCCTTTAGCTGCTAGTTATGTTACTATGATGGCTGCTTCTTTTAGTGCTCGTAGCCGTCCGGTCGCAAATTGTTTGTATGTAATTACTTAATTGTGAACTCTGGCTGATCCGTGAGATTAGTCTTGCAAGGATTGCATTGATCTTGGTAAGCCTAGGCTTACTAAGACCATACATTGTAACTTTCTATTCCTCTTAGGCCCTGTTTGGTTCCCAGGAATTGAGATGAATTGGAAAAATAATCTAATAATAAAATGAGAAACGCTTTCTAGATTTTGATTCCAATTCATGGATGCAAACAGGCTCTTAATGAAATACGCTTAGGCACGGTCGCGAAAAAAAAAAAAGCTGATTTGGTTATAAAAATTCAGGGTCAATTACTAGCACAGGCACACAAAACAGTTGTTACGCGCCGAGCCACACCACCAAGCCCACAACAAAGCTAAGCCAAAGCCATCCATCAATCAGCACAACAACTGGTGAACCGCATGGCATGATGACCAGAGGTGGGCGATATAATCACGGGTCACAATGCGGTCACAAGATCAGCGCCGCGCAATCATCTCGGGGACTGTAAGCTTCACGGACCCGGCACGAGACGAAAGCTGAGGAGAGGATGGAATGGAACGCACCAGGGATCGAAGGGGGGTAGCACCAGTCCCGCCCCTGACGGGGGCGGCCGCTAATGGGGAGGTTGGGGGGTCTCTCCTCCTCACCATCCCCTCCGTATCCTCTCCTCCTCGCCATCCCCTCCGTATCGAACCGCGGGAAGAAGTGGGTGGGCGTCTGAGCGAGGGGTTGGAGTTCGCTGCTCGCCTGCGGGGCGCGCGCCGGCCGTGGGATTGGATTGGGGCTTGGGGTTGTGGTGGCGGCACCAGCAGCCAGCAGCCAGCAGCCAGCAGCGCACGAGCACGAGGCAATGTTTGCAGGCTTGCAGCGGTTCGTGAGTGAAGCGCGATGGGCTTTCACGGTTCGCGCAGCCTCGGCGGAAAGGCCTGGCCTGGTTGGTTGTGCCGCGGTGTCGGCAGGCCCGTCCGTCTGTCCGTAGAAAGGCCGGAATGACGCGCCCGCCGCCCTCGGTGTTGTTTCTGGGCTGCTCGCTTGATCCCAAGAAAACCGTTCTCTCAAATGAAATCTAACAACAGCCTTACAGAGCCCATCTGAGCTCCAGCGGAGCATATTTGGGTCTACCAACGTGATTCAAGGAATCAAGGTGCATTCTTCTCATGTAATAATCATCATGATATATCACACCTTTTACATGATCCCTTTTAGAAGAGTGAAGCTCAGACATGCTCTTTATCAGATCAGATGCCTCGTATATAACCTCGTTCCTTTTTTTCTGAATGAACAGACACGTGATTGTGCACCATTTCAAATATAGAAGAAAGTGTGTAAACTCCTCTCATTCTAAATCTCCCAATTTACTAGAACTCCAAAAATAAAAACTAAGTATTAGAAAAACTGGTGCCGACAGTCCGTGCCCAAAGTTCTGGGATCTGGCACCCAGGTCGTGTTATGTCCACTTGTACAGTGCTGAAGCATATCAAGCATATGCCAAACAAAGGTGTTCGCGCCCTTTTCCAGACGGATCGCGTTCTATCTGGTGGCACACAGTAGGAATTCGCGTTAGATACATAAGTAAGAGAGTAAAAAAGAATGGAATGCCAACAAGAAGCGATGTGGAACGCTTTACCTATACTGCTGCCGTTTCCTGAACTGCACGAGCATCGGGTATATGTTCTCGAAGGCCGTGTATATCTCTTCCCGCACCTTGGCTCCAGTGAGGACGATCTTTCCAGAGACGAAGACGAGGATCACGATCTTGGGCTCCACCATACGGTAGACCAGTCCAGGGAAGATCTCTGGCTCATACTGTACGTCAAACATCAGGAGAGCAACAGGTTAATAAGTTCTTCAGGTCAATGAGGATCAACAACAACAAGGCACACAAGTTTTTGAACCGAAGAAAGAACCGAGGACCGAGCTCCAAATGTTGCTAATTGCGCAGCTATGAACTTACATTGGCAAACGTGCCACTGGCCAAAGCGAGGCCCTCCAGACGAATAGGAAATTTGACGTCACATGACCCAACTATATTCTGGATCTTGAAATCCTGCATGTCACCAGAACCGGCCCGTTGAATCCAGGTGAGAGATCGAGTATCTTTTTTCTTTCTGAATGAACGAATCAAAGCGACAAAAGTATTACCTTGAACCGAGCTGGGAAGCCGAGCTTCTGGACAATGCGCGCAAACTGCAATGGAGGAAACTGCATTAATAAACGCCATATACATACATATTAAGTCACATGGCAAAATTCAGCAAACAGCCAAAATTGGCATCCATCAACATTTTATCCCTGCATGGCGAAACAATATGACAAGACCTTACCTTCCTCGCAGCAAGCTTTGAATGGTCTTCACTCTTTGCTCCAGTGCAAACCATCTTCCCTGAAGCAAATACCAATGCTGTTGTCTTCGGATCCCTTATCCTCATGATAACCGCAGCAACACGCTGTCAAGTATCAAGGTTATATGGTGAGACTGCAGTTGATAAACGAATGTAATATATAGTTCCATGGAAAATGTCCAAGGTAAATGAAAAGGCAGTAGCGGCACTGATCGATGATACCTTTGGGTTGTACTCTGCGTTACGAGCACTGTTGGCTATTTGTTGCAGATCCAACTGGCAGTCCAAATTGACTGTTGATACGATGTTCCTGACACATCAAGCAAGAGGCTGGTTAGGACTCCATCATTTCAAACTAGGCAGCAAATTAAAGAAGCAGTCACCTATCAACCCTTTTGAAATTAAATCAAGGAAAAAAGCCATCACGGATCAAAAACAAAAACAGCAACTCTTTACCTCAAAAAAGAAAAACAGCAACTCTTTTACAGCCAGATCAACAATGATGGCATGCTAGTTCCTTTTGGTGCAAGTTCAACACACTTTAATTAATCTCCCCATGTCATGCTAAGGATCAAACAGGTCATGCATAACTCCCCTACCCCACGGAGATAACGACTGCTATTTCGTACTACGTACTTGACTAGATATGCAATCCAAAGATTGAGCTCTCAGTCTCAAGAACCTTTGTAAAGAGGTGGCTAAATTCAGCGCAGAACGTTCGGTCGCAATCGGTTCAGATATTCGAGCAAGGAACACGCGAATTCGAATCCTTCGAATCACCCCAGACGCAACCCGCGACGCCCCGAATTGGTTCGCAATCCACACAGACGCCAACTAACCCTCAAGCCCTCCCGGTGCGGAAACCGTAACAGATCAAAACCAAGAGCCGGTGCAATTGGTCGCATCCAAATTACCACGTACCCCGTCCCCAATCCCCATCATCCACAAAACGCCCCACCCAACTGCTCCCCACGTCCAAGTTTTCACCATCCCCAATGAAAGCTCGCACGCGCGTCACCGCAATCTGCGTCGAGGGCTCGGGACTCACTGGAGGGTGGGGACGAAGCCGGACGGGTGCATGGCGAGGTCCACCCCGGGCTCATACTCGTCGTTCGTCACCGGCGCCGCGGCTCGTCCTCCTCCTCCGCCCCACGCCCCGCTCCCGCTGCGCTGCCCCAGCCCCAGTGCTGTCGGATCCGCGCCCGCCGCGGAAGCCATGATGAGAGAGGACTCGGCGCAGGCGTTGGGAGCTCGGAACGGAGGCAAACTGTTTTGAATGGGGCTGGGTTTTATTTGGCGAGAGGGGTTTGGGCGTGCGGGCGGCGGCCTTGGTTGGTTAGTTGGTTGGTTGGGCTCGAGTACGAGCGGCCTAGGGCTTGGATTCCACCGACTTGATTTGATGAGGAAGAAAGAAGAAGGCGGGGACGGGGCTCCGGATTTATATAGACGCGGGCTGGGTTCCGAGTCCGGGTAGGAGTTGGACTGCGGACAGCCCGGCAAGAAGGATGCTCCGTCCGAGTCCTCAGCTTCGCGTGTTTGAGCGGGCCGGGAAAGAGCAAGGACGCCGGCTTTCGCTCGGTGGCAGAAAACTGGAGAGCCATAGGTGGGTTTTGTTCGAATGTCACCTTTTTATTTTTTTTATAAGGTCAGTGTCAACGAAGGTTTATAGACATGAAATAAGCCGACTTGGTATAGTATTGATAAAAAGAGATATGATAAAAATTTAATGGGATGAAATGAGTTTCAAAGCAAGAATAGTAACGTAGTCGACAGCCGGCTAAAGACTACTCTCTACGTCCCACAAAGATCGTCATTGTAGTACCAGCCATATCTACCCAGAAGAGATGGTAAATTACAATATTGCCTCTGCAAAAGACTAGATTGGGTGCGGTTGGATTTTTGCAGGGGTAATATTATAATATACCATTTTTTCTTGGTAGATGTACCTGTTTCTACAATGACGTTCTTTGTGGGACGGAGGGAGTATACGACCCTAAAACGATGGGTCTTTTGGAACTTTTTTCAAATCTCAGGTCTTTCTGGGAAGGAGGGAGTAGTACGTGCCACGTCCCTAAAATCCTTCACTAGTATAATGACGTGGCTATATCTGCATGGTTGGGTGCATGTAGAGTCATTAATGTAGCACATGCATAACGAATAGGATTCTCCAAGATGCACTAAAACGCCAACTTAGACTATCTCCAACAGAAGAAACCTAAAATAGAGACATACTGTGATTTAGGTCACGTACAGTAAAAGGTCGCACACCCAAAACTTTCAATCTCCAACAGCGCGACCTCGAAGCTTCCTACGGCCGGATCCACCGACGCCGCCACAACGTCCACGGCCGCCCCGGTCTTCGCACCCCTCCCCCTGTGCCGCTTGCCGCTACCGCCGCCCAAGCCTGCCCTACGCGCCATGGCCGACCCGCTCGATCTCCGGCAACGCCGACTCCGGTCCTCTCCGCCGCCCCAGCCTGCCCTCCGGGCAGCGGACTCGCGGCCACACCAGCCGGTCCTACGCGCCACACGGTGCACGCGGCGCCTCGCCCTCACGCAACCCCAGCCGCGCCCCGCTCCCGCCGCGGACCCGTCCCAGCCCCCGACCGGAGTTCCTCTTTCCCTTGGGCAGGCGTGTGGGAGCTCCGCTACTGCCGCCTCGGTCGAGCGTGCGGGAGTGCCTCCCTCCCTCCCTCCGGTGTTCCCTCCCCGCGAGATCCGACGAGCGCTGGGCGAGCGCCAGCGAGCACCTCCGCCCCACGCGGCGCTGCTCATCACCGGCGGCGGGGGAGCGGGTCCAGATCCGGCAAGGCAGCCAAGGCCAGCGGCTCCTCTCCCCACCGGCGGCGCGCATCCTCCTGCCCCCACCTGCGGCGGCGGGCATGGCGACGGTGCTACAGCGCGCCTCCCTCATCTCGCGCCTGCGAGCGGGCAAGGCACCCGGCCATGGTGGCCCTCCCCAGATCCGGGGTGGCGGTGGGGGCGCGACGCGGATCTGGGGCGGCGATGCGGAGCCCCCCTCGATGCTGGCCGCGGCGAGGCGGAGCTGCGCGCGCTTCTACCGTGTTGAGCCGGCTCCGGTTGTCCCCTTCCCTCGTGGTGGTGGGCCTGGCAGAGACGCAAAGAGATGGAGGGAGGACGCTTTTTTGCCTTCCGCATCGCCTCCGACCCAAAATGGGTGATGTGTTTGCCTACTCGGTTGGAGCTTGTTTTTTGCGGATAAAAAAAAAGTGCGTGACGCATTTTTGGGAATGGGTCGCGGTATTGGAGACAGTCTTACCGGTGGCAGCGGGCTAGCAGCAACCTTTTTTCTCTCTCGTATGACGCGCACAACCGGGCGGTGAGTCGAGCGCCCGCTCATGTCCCTCTCCTTGTTTTCTCTCATCCACCAAGGATTTTCTTACTGAACTAGTATACAACCCACCTAGATGGTTTTATTATATTTGCGCTCGTGGGGATAAAACTTGTCTACACAATTTTTAATATATGAGAATCTTAAAAAGTGACATGAAAAACTGGCCTAATATACCTATAGAATTTTTATTCTTTCCACAAGTGTGCATGCCCAAAGCATAACGAGTGCGCACTTAGAACTAAGCAAAACAGAAACGATAACATTCTCTACTGAGCGTCCGTTCGGCTAGACGGGATGGACCCGCCTGCCCCCGCACCTCGCGCGCGCAACCGCGCCTCGTGCCTCACGCCACGCACGACTCTCGCCTCACGTCGCCCGCGCCTCGCGCCGCGTACCGCTTACGCTCGCGCCTCGCGCTGCACTCTGACGCACCTCGCGCCTCCCGCCCGGACTCACGCGGCACACAGCCGAGGTCCGTGGAGCGCAGGCGACCTCCGCGTTGTGGGATTGAGCTCCGCGTCAACGAGCCTCTGTTGGATGGCAGCAACTAGATGAGCACATGTTACATCCGTATGTTTCATGCGTTTCAGATGTATGTTGCATATGTTTTATTTGGATGTTGCAATATCTATACACGTACTTTGCAAGTGTATGTTTCAAATGTTTCAACTGTTTTATTTCAAACGTACGTTGCGAGTGGTTTATCTGGATGTTGTATATGTTGCACTGTATACACGTACGCTGCTAGTGTATGTTTCAAATGTTTCAGCTGTTTCAAACGTATGTTGCAAGTGTTTTATCTGGATGCTGCATATGTTGAGTGGCCGTACACATATGTTGCAAGTGTATGTTTTAAATATTTCAGCTATTTCAAATGTATATGTTGCAAGTGTTTTATCTGGATGTTGCATATGTTGCAATGGTCATACACATGTGTTGCAAGGACTATGTTCTAAATGTTTCAGCTCTTTCAGACATATGTTGCAAGTGTTCCATGAGCATGCGCGGGAAGTGGGCGCAGGCAGAGGTGGTGTCCAAGGGCACAGTGGTCCCCACATGCGTGGGAAGCGAAGCGGACGCGGCAGCAGCAGCGTGTGGCGACAACAGCAGCAGTAGCGCACCGGCAGGTGCGGCAGCAGCGTGCGGCTAGGCGCAGCGCAGGAGCATGTGGGCGGGCGGCAGGAGGTTCATGTAACCATGCGTATGAGTGATCGAGCGAGAGCGCCCTGCAACCTACGGACATGCGAAATAACAACGGCAGTCGGGAGCCGAATTGATTGATGGGGCGAAACCAAAAGGACGGACAGCATGGACGGACGTTCAGACGCGTCTCGCGCACCAGACGTCCGGAGCTAGCAAAGCACAAACAGAAAAGGGCATGTTTTACTTTGATTTGATCTGTGCTAGGATCGGATTGTCAATATAGCGCCGTCGCACTTGCATGGCTATTTTCTCCTCCGGAGGGAAAGGATCAGAACGACGCCCGTCATGTCCTCCTCCGCGGCCGGGCCCATGTACCGCTCCTCCGCCGCCCTGGCGTAGGCGTCACCAATGCCGTCGACACGGAAGTGCCGGACGAGCAGCCACTCGTCCAGCACGCGCAGGAACCTCGCCATGGCCTTGCTCCTCTCGGCGTCTCCCCGGGGCCCTCTCTCCAGGAAATCGTGGCTCTCCAGACCGACGATCTCGAAGGAGCCCTCCTGCTCCACGGCGCCGCGGAGCTCCTCCTGGCAAGGGCTGTAGAACGGCTCGTTGAACGAGTCCACCTCCGCCGCTGCGATCACCCCCTGCACGCACGCGCGCCACGCCAATCCGCCGTTAGCGAGGCAGTCAAAACACGAACTGAATTCAGTTTGTTGCCATCACCCACGCCCATGCATACTTTTGTAGCGAGCCAGCTACCTGGGATGCTAAGTCTTGTAGGATCTCGGCGATGAACTCCGGGTAGCGGTCTTGACTGGAGAAATCATTTGCAGGTCTACCGTAGAGGGAGAGTACCATCCATCCGCCGGGCACCATTTCTTCGGCCCGTGACCCCAGAAAGCGCTTGAAATCCTGCTCGAATTGCCGGGCGTAGGCTGCGGTGACGGCCGGCGTGCTCGTTCTCCCCGCCGACACGCTGCCCTTGTTTATCAGCACTCCGTCCACCAGTTCTTGCGGAACCTGCCAAATTTCATACTCCTAGTAAACAAACACTGCTGATTTTCGGCAGAAACACCAGGAGATTATGACTGATTGGCATGCGACGGTTTTGGCCGGGCGGCAATGCAAATTAACCTGGGAGAGCCAGTGGAGGCTGAAGGAGGAGCAGACCAAGTGCAGCGTCTTGGCGGGGAAGAGCCGGCCGTAGAACGACCCCGGGGCACCGAACACCATGACGAGCAGGCCGCTGTCCCTGTCCACTCCCCCGTACCCCCGCAGGGACGACGGCACGTCCTTGAACACGGTGTTGAAGTCGTTCTCCGGGAGGTCGTTGAGGTACACGCAGATCTCCCGGCACCGCTCCGCCCAGTGCGGCTGGCGCCGCACGGCGTCAACGGCGGCCGACGCCAGCGCCAGCGCGTTCGGCCCCGACGAGCACCCCAGGTCTGCTACCCGGAGGCAGCCCGGCACGGCTGATCTACACAGGTCCGAGATGGCCTCCTCGACCAGAGGCTTCACTCTGCTCTGCACGCCACTCTGAGAAACTCACACAAGTTACATCGAACATCGACTTGATCTAGCTAGGGCCAGATGGCCACGTCGTCCCAAATGATCTGAGATTCTGAGACCGCGTGAACGTGATGGAAGAGGAAGAGGAGGGCATGAGGATGAGGGGGCAACCTGAATAGCGGAGTTCTTGGCGTAGCTCGTCTCTCCTTCCCCGCTCATGCAAACGCTCTGCACGGACGCCATTAGCCGGCTGGCTGGCGATTGAGCTGGACGCCTGGACGTTAGAATGCACTGTATTGTGGCACTCAAAAGATGTTCTTGGGCGGGTCAGAATCCTGCACTGCCACTACTGTTTGACACCATTTGCGTCTGGATCGTCCGTCGGCACCGGCACATCAGAGCCACTGCCTGGTTAAGTGGCTATCGCGCCAGACCGACAGTGACGTGCGTAAACCACGCCACGAGATGCACGTGATTCCTACAGAATGGTCGGAACGCGTGGCAGAAAGGTGCCGGTGTGCACTTTCATTTTCACTTTTTTTTCTTTAGAAAAAAATATATAAAGTAAAAGATACATTATTATCGCAAAAGAAATAGTCTGGTAATATTGGAAATGAAATAGCTCCAAAAAAAATAACCATGTAGTAACAATTAAGATATTGATTAACTAGCGAGCATGCACTACCGAAAACAGCGACTTTACCGTGTGCCACCAAAAAACACTCGGCAAAGGCTTTGCCGAGTATAACACTCGGCAAACAGCACACGACAAGCACACGACATCTACAGTGTCGGCAAACAACTATTTGCCGAATATTTTTTATCGCGCACTCGGCAAATTGCCGAGTGTCAAATTTTGACACTCGGCAAAAAAAAGTGGTTTGCCGAGTGTCTTTCCAAAATACACTCTGACAAAGGATTATTGTTTGCCGAGTGTTTTTGGGAATTACACTCTCAAACCTATTTTCCAAAAAAAAAATTCTCAGCATACCATTATTGTTTGCTGAGTGTTTTTGAAATTACACTCGGCAATCCTATTTTCCAAAAAAAAAAATTCTCAGCATATTTCAGTTTGATGAGGCTCTTTTTGAAAGAAGAGTCTAAGATGACAGGCAAATATTTTCATCCATGTAAAGATGGCAGACATATTACTTTTGTATGGCCAGGCTTACATCTGCCTGTGTAGCCTCCACACCCAGGAAACAGACTCATTCTCTTAGTAACGAAAGTAATAAGTGGACTAAAACACAAGCAGTATATAGCATCCCAATAACTGAACCTAGGACCACTGCAAGCTCGTAGTACAGCTGAAATTTAGAAGACTATTACTTAGGACGTCAGAATGTATACAGAGCTAGATGGATGCAGCAAGGAACAAATTCGCAAAATAAAACATGTCTCCACAGGCAGCGTCATCAGAAGCCGAGATTTCATAACAAAGAGATAATTGCAGCCGCATAGTCCGTGACTGAATAGGCAATAAATATTACCTCTCATTGGTGTCTCCAAACCACACAAATTAGAACAGGTAGAAAAAGATGCATTAAAAATCAGGAACAACCAATTGACCATCGCATCAGTTACCACAGAACAGGTACAAAGAGATGGCAAAAAATAGAACAACCTATGATCATTGCCTCAGTTATGGACACAGCAGAGAGATGCAAAAAGAAGGAAGAATCATCATAGCTCATGAGCATTGCCTCATTAGTCATGAGAAAGAAGGAAGAGATGTTTACCATGAAAAGATCGCTCATGATCATTGCATCAAACACTACAATAATCGACACTGCAGTAGCCCATTCCCTCAGAGTAAAATGTAACGGCAAGAGAAAAGTGTATTCATCATTGTAGATGACCAAAATGCAGACAACGAACCAGAAACCATCAGGACTGCAGATCCATGGCACAATAATTGCGTGCTCTCAAGATCCAACCGAACCGAGTAGGCCACAACCTACAAAACGCAAAACAATCCTTAGTAGCATGCAAACTGGTAAGACAAGGGGATAAAAATAGATCTAGGCTGAAACCGAACTTCCCTGGTTCATTTGCCTCCTTCGACCAAGATTCCCCCTCCAAATCTCACATGCAGTGAAAAATCATGCAAGAGAAGGAGGGTTGAATAGAGATAAAGCGAGGGAGGGGACCGGGAGAAGAAGAAGGGGAGGGGAGGGCCTGTCGCCACCAAGCCCGCCATGCCACCACGCCCGAGCTGCCGGTGCCGAAGCTGGGGCCCGCCTCAACCACGACCACCTCGCGGCTGGAGAAAGGGAGAGGAGGGGCGGGGTCCCCGCCGTATCCGGGGAGGAGGGGCGGTGCGGTGGCTGGATCCGGAGAAGAAAGGTGAGAGGAGGGGCGGGGCGGCGGCCAGAGAAAGGGAGAGGAGGGGCGGAGTCCTCGCCGGATCCGAGGAGGAGGGGAGGGGGCGCCGGGAGAGAGGGAGGGGGCGCCGGCGAGGAGAGGGGCACCGGGAGAGGAGGGGAGGGGCACCGGCCGAGATTTGAGGGGAGGGGGCGCTGGCGAGGCGAGGCGAGGGGAGGGAGGGGAGGGAGGGAGGGGAGGAGGTGTTGGGAGAGGCCGGGCCGTCGTGAGGGAGCGCAGGGAGAGGGGCCGAGGGAGGGAGGGAGGGCACGCGTGTGTGTGCAGGGGGAGGAGGGCGGTGTGGGGGGGAGGCAGTGTGGGAAAGGATGAGGGAGGCGGGGTTTTATTTCCAAAAAAATTATTTCTTTGCCTAGTGTTCTAGATCTGAGCACTCGGCAAAGTTTTTTTTATTTTTTTTTCTTCTCCTTCTTTTTCAGAAAAAAGATTTTATTTCTTTGCCGAGTGTTCTAGATCTGAGCACTCAGCAAAGTTTTTTTTCATTTTTTTTCTTCACCTTTTCTAGAAAAAAGATTTTATTTCTTTGCCGAGTGTTATTTTTTTACACTCGGCAAACCCGCTCTTTATCGAGTGTTTTTTTACCCTCGGCAAACCCTCTCTTTTGCAGAGTGTTTTTTTGCCGAGTGTTTTTAGCGTAGCACTCGGCAAAAAACTTAGTCACCGAGTGCCCGAGGAAATACACTCAGCAAACATAAAAACACTCAGCAAATTTGAGGATTTCGGTAGTGATGCCGTAGGGCTGCAACATAATTTGCATTTTGCATCATTGGTTCCAATAGACGCAGACCGTCTTATGGTTAGACGTGACTATTCTAACTCGCATAAGTATAGTTCATGAATTCGGGACAAGACAATACAATTCATCACATACACTACTCTTTGTAAGGCTGTCTCCAATAGGAGATCCATCAGGAGACCCAAACCCAAAATGGGTTTCCAACAGAATACCTCTAGCCTCCAAGAGAGTACCTATATGGAAGGCCCATTTTTTGTATCAGGAGAGATATAACCCAAATCTGAATATCCTCTCTCTTGGAGACTCATTTGCAGAAATGATTCTCTTTGGGGTCTTGTTGTTAGAAAAGACCAAAAATGGGTATTGAACCATTTACCTGTAGCGCTACCCAAACGTGGAATATGTCTTGTATTTTTGGTAGCGGTTGTTGAAGACAGTCTAACACTGGCTAGGACTCTTATGCTCTAGAGGTTGAAGTGACACGTTGACATGAGGAGAGTGTGATGGATGAAAATTTAGAGGAAAAAATATTAGGTATAGATGTGGATTTAACCAAATCATTATTTTGATCCTTTTTTTTTGTTGAAAAAATACCTCAACAACCAGAGTGAAGAACCAAAACAGTGACAAGAGGCAGCGGCGGATCTAGAAAAATAGCCAGGAGGGGTTTATCACATAATTTTTCATCTCTAGTCTCTCTTTCCAAGCTTGAATAGGCGCAAATTTATACTAGGGGCTTAGGAGGGGCTTCATGGTCCGAGCAGCGGCCGTGGGGGCTCGAGTCCACCCCGCCCCGGTGCTGGATCCGCCCCTGACAAAAGGGAGAATGGGAGCTTGAAAATTTTCTTTTGTAAAGAATAGTAATAACAAAGCGGACTATATTATGAGGCAACCGAAGAACCTACAAATCCTAGTAACTAGGCCAAAAAAATAAGGAAGCGTTTAGAGAAAACATAGGCAAAACTAAGTTTCACCGCCTTCAAGATCGGCCTAGCTAGTTTCCAAAACTGACTTCGGAAGAAAAATACCAAAACCCAATAAAAAGATCTAAAATCATGTTTTTTTTATCGAGGGCTTCACAACTCCACAAGGATCACTTCCTGGCCACATTTGGAACCAGCTTTGGCTGGTTTTGGTTCAGCACGTTGTCCTCTGAAAATATCAAACCTTGATCAAATGGACCCCACAAATCATGAAAATTGATCGAGCGGTTCATAACATAATAGAAAACAACTCCAATAAAAATCTTTTCAATCCAACCAAGTCGCCAAAAACCAGCCAGGCCAGATTTAGAAACCAACTTGACTAGATTACCAAGAAAACAATGAGTTTCTCTAAGAAAAAAAATCTAAATCGATCCAAATGAGCTCAAAAAAATATGAAACTTGGTATACACCTTGAATAACTCATTGTGAAGGTACTCCCAAATAATCTTTCCAAAAGTATTAGAGATTCACCATGAATTCTACAATTCCTCTCTCAATTTAGGGTTTTCTCAAAAAAAGCACAGCATAAGAAATTAGAGGTGCTTGTGGAAAATCTATTTAAAGACAACCTAAATATGTTACCAAGACTTCATAGCATCAAGATTAAACACAAGAAATAACTAAAACCACCCAACCCAAAGGAATCATGAATTTTTTTCACCAAAGAAAGGATTTTGAAGAAGAAAAGGAAGGATTTTGGAAGGCGGTAATGGGAAGTTTGGTGCCAGGATTAATCCCATCATGTACCCATGTCCAAAGTCTCCAAGACATACCTCCAAACAATAGCTAAGAGCCTCGATACTAGCACTTGGATCTAGAACCTACATGTTGATGCTCAAGATTTCAATAGTCATATCGGTGATTTGGGGATCACTCGAAAAGTCTTCAGTGCTTATTTTGGCTAATTCTCCATTATCTTTTTTGGTTGAGTGGCACATACTTCCATGGTGACCATTTTTCCAATTATGAAGAATGGCTAAGCCACATGTTGGTGTTTCGAACAAACACCAACTAGTAAATTTATATTTGTTGCGCGTTAGGCTCGGATGGTGTACTAAAGGACACAAGGTTTATACTGGTTCGGGCTGAATGTCCCTACGTCCAGTTTGCTGCTGCTCGTGTTATTAGTACCGAAAAAG